GACGATTTAGCCATGTCCGTCTGTCTATCTGTGTGTCTGTCTGTCCGTCTGTCTGTCTGTCTGTTGTAATCACGCTATCTTTCGAACAAATTGAGATAGAAGGCTAAAATTTTGCACACATGTATATTTTGCCAGTAGGCAGGTTAAGTTCGTAAATGGGCCATGTAGGTCTAAGTTATCATATAGCCCCCATATAACGGTACCTCCCGATATTCGGTATTTTGATGATTTTAGCGACATTTTTCACCGGAATTGTTTCAAATTTGGCATTTGAAGTTCGTAATGGATACTACAGCCTAAGACAGAAAATAATCTGTGTAGGTCCACGGCTTCGTATAGCCCTTATATAACGGTACCCCCCCGATATTCGGTATTTTGATGATTTTAGCGACATTATTTACCGGAATCGTTTCAAAGTTGGCATTTGAAGTTCGTAATAGATGCTGCAGCATAAAACAGAAAATGGGCCATGTAGGTCCACGTCTTCGTATAGCCCCCATATACCGTACCCCCCGATATTCGGTATTTTGATGATTTTAGCGACATTATTTACCGGGATTGTTTCAAATTTCGCATGTGAAGTTCGTAATGGATACTTCAGCCCATGCCAGAAAATTGTCTGTGCAGGTCCACGTCTTCGTATAGCCCCCATATAACGGTACCTCCCTATATTCGGTGTTTTGATGATTTTAGCTACATTATAAACAGATTTTTCTTCAAGTTTCGCATTAAAATATTGTAATAACTTATGACAAAAGTTGCATATGCAGGTCCACGTCGTCGTATAGGCATTCGGTATTTTTAAGATTTTAACAGAATTGTTAACGGATTTTATTTTTTTTATGGAAATTGTCAAATTTGTACCAAATGGTGGAGGGTATTAAAAGTTCGACCCGGCCGAACTTACACCTTTTTTACTTGTTTTACTTTAGGACCAGATAACATAATGAGTTCAACGTCTGAATTATTGAAAATTCCTATTCAAATGGTACAAAATGGTATGGCATCAATATTGGAGGGAATTTAACTTTAAGGTATTACATTACATTATCAAAAGGTACAACATTTTTAAAACTGTGAATTTGAAATTACGCATCTGCCACGTTCTTCAATGTTTGCATATCTTAACATTTCATCGGACTTCGGACCACTTAGAATGGTACTTTCCCTTAAAAATATTCAAAAATCAAACTTGTCACACCGTATTACTTGAATCAGTCTTAACTCAGATTTAAAAATTAGCAATGTCGATCCATTCCCTTTCGGACCTCCCTATAGGGGCAAAGATTTAAGAAACAAAAACTCATAAATTGATGGTCGATTTTCTTCAATATTAGTACAATTTAACTTGTTTAAAAATAAACAAGTAAGCAAAGGCTATAGTCGTGCGGGGCCTACCATGTGATACCCCACAACACTACAATATGTTCGAAGTTCCCTCATATCCAAATCCATTTTGAAAGATTTCGTTTTTGAAATAATGTCAAAGAGCCTTACCCTTAGTTTTTTGGCCCGGAGAATTTGGCCAGTATTTACGCACTCCGTAGTTTTGTAAGTATTCAAAACAATTTCACACGAAAGTTGTGGTCCATTTTACAGCTAAATATAATCCAATGGTCATCCAAAATGCTAGACTTCTTCCTGTCCTTAACTCTCTTCTGATGCGAAATTCCGTGTCGATTAGTTTTCAATTGTGGCCTATAGAGTGACTACAAAATTAGAAAAAATTAATTTTTTTTAGTCCATTTGCACCTTTAAATGTACATCTTAATAGGCTTTAATTCTGACCCTAGCCTTACCTCCATGCAAAATTTCGTGAGGATCCGTGAGGATAATCGGCAAAAGGGTTATATAATAAACAATAGGGTTATATTCTGACAATAGGGTTAGATTCTGAGGATCGGTTTATAATTGCGACCTGTAGCTTGATTACAAATTAACATGGACAGACGGACAGGCGGACAGACGGGCGGACGGACATACATAGCTAGATCGACACATCTCGGCGAGACAGATACACTTTCCTATGTGGGAAACCACTATTTCGAGGTGTTACATAATTTTTGGGCTAATCAAACTTATAATACCCACAACACATAGTCTTGTAGGGTATAAAAATAATGATGACTCAATAAGAAAAGTCGTTTAAATTCAATGCGAATAGGAAAATGCAACTCTTTCATAAAAATGCTTATATTGAGGTGAAGCCCACAAAACATGAAATGAATATTAGGGGTTTTCCACAAAGTTGAGTCCAAGATGGGAGGACAATATGTACTTAGTAGATAGCTTTATTCTATCTCATATTATTGTGCCATCGTTCAAACTCCACTTCGCCAAAATTCTTAAATCTAGGTACACCAAACTACGTACATCGCAATGATCTTGTCAAGATTTGTCTCCGATTTTCTGAAAACTTATAGATATATGTCCATGCAACGATTTAGTCCAGACACTGCATGTGACCACAAAAACAAACTAAAGGCAAGCCATATCTGCGGATTGCATAAGGTTTGTCTATATATAGCTATATAAACGGTCATGTGCTGAAGGTGTGCCGGAGGATCAGTTTCTAACTTGTTAAGTGCAATTTTAAATTCAAAGTCTAGAGTCTCTTAATGAAATGTTTGGGGATCTCTTGGACTGTGGCCTACAAACAACCCTACTCTTACACTCATTGTAATGTAAAACGATCCACAGCCCAAAACGGAATCTCCATTGATTACTGAAGCATTTCGACATTATTAATGACATATTCATGTACTACTAATTAAAAATTTAAAGTTTCTTTTTATTTGTATTTCTTCCAAATGTAATTCAGACAGCATTAATTTAAATTATGACTTTATATAAGGAACACAAGAGACATGTGTTCTGATTTCATTCCCAGGTTCAATTAGTGACCCACAAATACCTATTTTCCGATATGTTAATAGGGAAATGCGGCAAAAATCATCAAAATAGTGAATAACGGAAGGTACCGCTATATGGGGCTATACAAAAACGTGGACCCATACATACATGGTTTCGCCACCGGAGCTAGAACCCATTATGACCAACAAATACCAATTTTTAGACAAATCCGAGAAAAAATGTGACTAAAACAATCCAAATACCGAATATCGGGAGGTACCGCTATATGGGGCTATACAAAAACGTGGACCTATACATACAATATTTCGCCACACGACTCATTTTGACCCACAAATCCCAATTTTCAGAGAAATCCGTGAAAAAATGTGTCAAAAATCATTAAAATACCGAAAATTGAGAGGTACCGTTATTTAGTGACTATACCAAAACGTGGACCGATATATCTCATCTTCAATACCAACCATCCTAAACACAATACAAATTGTTCTGCTAAATTTTGTCGCTTTACGTCAAATAAAAAATGTACCCTCCTTTCAAAAGGAGGGTACAAATTTCAATACCCTACACTAGTAGGTAACAAGTAAAAAAGCAGGTACCGTTATATGGGACCTATACGAAGACTTGGACCTGCATACAAAAATTTTTGTCATAAGCTTTAGTATCCATTACGAACTTCAAATGCCAAATTTGAAACAATTCTGGTAAATAATGTCGCTAAAGTCATTATCGTTGTATGGCTATATGAAAACGTGGACCTACATGTCCCATTTACGAACTTAACCTGCCTATTGGCAAAAATAAACATTTCTGCGATTACAGACAGGCAGACGGACCTCGCTAAATCGACATAGAATTTCACGCTGATCAAGAATATACATACTTTGTTGTGTCTTACATGAGTATTTCGAAGAGTTACCATTTGGAACGAATTTGGAAATAAAATCCTCAAAAAATTCTGTTAAAATTTTAAAATACTGAATAAAGCCGTTATATTGCTGTCTATATGACGTGGACCTACATAGGCTTTGTTTGTCATAAGCCATTATCATATTCGAAACTTGAAATAAGCGGTGAATAATATAGCTGAAATCAGCAAAATATAGTATATAGGGAGGCACCGTTATGTCGGAGCTGTGCGAAGACCTGGGCCAGCATAGACAATTTTCTGCTATAGGCTGTAGCATCCATTAAGAACATCAAATACGACATCTCAAACAGTTTCAGTGAGTATTTTAAGTAAAATCGTCAATCATTACCTCGTCAATCAATACCAAATATTGGGAGGTACCGTTATATGGGGGCTATATGAAAACGTGGACCTAAATGGTCCATTTACGAACTTAACCTGCCTACTGGAATAATAAACATTTGTGCAAAATTTAAGCCTTCTATCTCAATTCGTTCAAAAGCGTGATTGCAACAGAGAGACGGACAGACAGAATATTTATATATATATATACATATATATATATATATATATATATATATATATATATATATATATATATATATATATATATATATATATATATATATCATGCTGATCATGATCATACATCAACATTTGTCATTTGTTCACTTTTTCCCGTAATGTTTGACATGTCACTTAAAAAATACCACGGACAAAACTTCAAACTAAAAAGTATTGTTCATCACATTCGGTTTGGTGGAAAAATATGTACTGTATAGTACAATTGTAACCATAAAAGTGAAGGGTATTGCGTAAAGCGTCATATATTAGAATTTATAAACAAAAAGCCTTATTTACACTGAACATGTTTTCATAAAAGGCGTTATTGCCAATTTCTTTGATAAAACGTGTATTGCAATTTTTGTTTCCAAATATTGTCAACATAGTCCATTGAACCCCCAAATATTATAACATCCTCCTCTCCCACCCCCTCATTAAGAATAAAAAAATCATTTCACATACAAACATGAATGCCTGTGTGTGTTCGTGCAATGACAACATAACCGACATGTGCTGCCTGCCACACAACTCCCTCTTCCCATTTCATTCATCCATTTTCAAGTATTTCCCTATTTTCGATTCTTTCATTTTCCGTCTTCTTTTCTTGTGCTTTTCTTATGATGTTTCAATTCGTTGATGATAACGGGAAACTTACTTTGCTCTTTAGTTGACGTTTATTTCCCTTTTGGCAGCTCCTACGTTTGTATGTAGCTGTGTATGTAATTTTGTTGTTGTAGTTGTTTGTTTTTGTTTATGAAGTTTTATCTGTTGTTAGCATTGCTCTTCTTCTTCACATCGTTATTTCATTAGCATGGATCGGCTTGAGGGTTTAGAAATTCCACACAAAACAAAACTAAATTTATATCGCGTTGGATAGGGAGCGAGGACGATTTTTTTTTTTTTTTTTGAATTAAATTTTTGTTCCAACCGGAAACCGCATGTTTACGCACGCATGCACCACTACAAACACTTTTCTTGTCGGTGAGGTGAGTTGAGAACTAAAATACCTCACTTGCGAATACATTTACACAAAGCACAAACACTTGTATGTGTATGTATGTGTTGGACTCACTTCGGCTTTCGAGTCACGCGTTTACGCCAAACGCTGAGACAACTGGTGGCTTGCACACACTCACACACACGTCCCGATGTGACACTGACACACTAGCTTTGACGCACTCTTTGTTGGAATTTGTCGCAACGCTACACGACGTAAAGTGATTATTGCACTTTCACTAGGTAACGTCCGGATTCTTTCACTGTTCCTTTGAAGTTGCAGAACCTCTGGCTTGACCACATAGACCTGGTCAGCCTTTGTCGATTTTTCTTAGGATTTCGCGTACCCGCAGACACACACACGCTCACAGAGCAAGAGAAAACGAAAGTATAAAACACGCACACAAACACTTACAACAACAGCAATAGCAACATCTGAACCGGAAGTTAATTCTTCTTGCCGTCGTCTATTCCTTCTTTTTGATTTACGTGCTTCCGACAACACTTGCTTGCCAGCGAACACCGAACAACATGAAATGTAAGACTTGGCCGACATACAGCGGAATGTACACAATCGGATGGCAGCAGCAACGAAGGCGATGGCGACGACGCCGCGTCAACGCTGGCAAGGACGACGACTGCGACAAGTGATTATAATAGATGTTCGAGATTTGATAATAATTGGTATCCGAGGTTAGTTATCTTCTAACAGACGCACACTCACACAAGGGGGTGGAGGAAAGAAGGGGTGTCTAGGTTATAGAATTTGCTACAGCCTCTGGAGTAGAAGCAACAACGACAGCAACACGGATGCGATTACTTCAGGACACAGGTGAGCAGATGAATCTCCCAGCCAGTAACTTGGCACATGGGAGTTGGGGTCGAAACCGGGCTGGTGCGAGAGAGCAAGGTACACGCCGGAGAGTGGGGGTTAAAGATGCGAGGCCCAGTAAGAGCCGGGGGAAAGCACAAGCTCGCCACAACGTACACATAGACGACGTTTGTATTGCTTTCGCAATCAAGTGAAGAGCATGGGTGCCAACGAGGCTGTTGAGCTGGCCGGTAGAGCAGCACCAGCACCGACAGTAGTCCGTGGTCCTCGCTAATCCAATTCTCTCAGGGTTGGTTGGTAGGTTGTTTGCTTGGTTGGTTGATTTGCCTGGTCGCTTTCTTGAAGCACCAGATGGCAGATGGCTGTAGGCTGGATGTTATTTTTATTTGGTTCCTTTAGACATGGGGTGTTTGTCTGCCAGTGTGTGTGTATGTGTTTTTGAGTATTTGAAGAAACCCGTTTTCGTCGCCAAAGAATTCGCACACAAAAAGGAACAACAACAACCACAGCGTTCAGACCTAGCCACAACAAACCGAATGCTGTTCCCGCTGCTGATGCATTGCGAAAGGACTTGACAGGATGCTGAAGGTTAAACAATTTGCTTGTCCAAATCTCTCCAGTGATCCAAATACCGGGACTAGCTGACATACACACGTGCGAGAGTGTGATTGTGGATTTGTTCAATCCTCTATTTCCGTTCACTTTTTGATTCTTCTTTCTTTTCTGTTCGTTTTTATTTTTAATTAAATTCTTTCGTAGCACATTAACGCATTCTGCGCCTTTGATTGGCAAAATTTGAATTCACTTCACTTTGATGTTATTATTTTCCGTTTTTTTTATTTTTTGGGAAATTTTCTTTATTTTTCTTCGGCCGGATGGATGGTTGGATCCTTAGACCAAATTCCGTGGTCGTTATGTACAAAAATTGAGAAAATTTGTACAAACGTCTGTATGTATGTTTGTATATGTGCGTGCGTGTGTGTATATATGTTTATCTATCTTATTTTTGTATTCTTGAATTATTCGGAAATATTTCTTTGATTTTTTCTTCTTTTTTGATTTTTGTTTTTTTTTTCAACAACACTCTTCAATGTCACCACCACACATTTTTTTCAATTTTCTCATCGGACTGCTTTTATTTTTACAATTCCTCTTCTTGGTCAGCCAATTAAATAATAGAATTTTGATTTTTCTTTCGGGCAAACCACAAAAAAAAAAACAAAGAAGGAAAATTTTATAGGAAAATGGAAAACTGGGAAATCACAACCGCAAATGTATTAGGCTGGCTATAGCGCGTTTGAAGGGAAGGAAAACAAGACGGTTCTCTTGCGTCGACACGTTCGCGTTTTCTGTGGGTGACATTACCCAGCAACAGCCAATCCGGGACTGAAAGCTCTTGGCTGCTGCCGCTTTGCGAAAAGCACCATCATCATTGCTTGGCCATTCTCTGGGTAGCCGTTGTTGCTGCCGCTACTATTGTCGACGTCGGCGTTGGCTCAACTCTGAAAGAGCATTAAAAGATGTACCATAGCCAGCGAGAGAGAATGCGCGTTGTATGTGGCCTTAGATGAGAGTGTGTGTGAGTATGTGTGTGTTACTGGTGTTAGTGTTGTGTGCCTTTGAATTTCAATTTGGCATTCGCTTGCACGAGGCACATTGGTGTGTAGGTGTATTGAGCGAGCAGTATCACAGGAGCTGCTGGTTTCGAATGAGCGATTCCTTGCAAAATTCACACTTTAAAAACATAATCTACACAGTATTTGGAAAACAATTTTATGCGCAAAATGCGTATTATATTAAACTATCTGGCCCAGTCCGCGTTGCCGGCCCGAAGTTTTAGTTTTTAAAGCATAATAATTCACAAATCTGGCTCACATAAGTGATACAATTTTTAGTATAAATGATGACTCGATTAAATAGAAATAAATACGTCTTTTAAAAAACGGATCCTATTTTTCAGTAAGAGGTTTTAATTTTAGAGTTAAAAATTTAAATAATATAGCATATATATTCAAAAGTATACATTAACTGTTTACAATAGGCCCATGTAAGATGGATCTCTACCCCCAAAGTAGCCCAAACACATATTTTAAGTCAAATCGATTTTTTATCAAAACCTCGAAATAGGTAAAATCAGGAGGTACTTTTATATGAGCGCTACTCCGAAACAATGATATTGAAAAATTTCCGCGAAGAGGTCTTCTACCAGAAGCTAGATGCCAAATTAGGGCAAAATCAATTGAAAAATGTGACCAAGACCCTGGTAATAGCTAAAATCACCGGACACCTTCACATAAGAGTTATAATGAAGCATGGTCCTATACTTTTAATTATTTGAAAAAATTTGTTTTTTTTTTTTATACCCACATTTTAGGAATTTTAAAGGGGCTATATCATTTGAGGGGCGCTATGTCACAATGTAGACCAACCTGATACATATTTTGTACAAATGATTCCTCATGTTACCCATAGGACTGTATCACAGTTAAAACATTATCGTAACTTTTGCGGAGTATAGGGCAAAATATTTGCGGCCCTTTGTGTATGATTAAGCTGTATAAAATGAACTTTAAAAAAGTTCTTTTGGGATTTTTATTTACCAACCGAAAAATTTCCTAACCCCAAGATTGTCTGCGCCGCAGTGTAATTACTGACGATAGCGCATAGTGCCCGTATGACGTTATCTATGATTTAAGGTTACTTTTAAGGTTTCGGAAGAATTTCCGAGTATGTGAATCTTTTTCTTACTATATTTTAAATTCACTCCACCATTATTTGTATTGTCTGCATATTACAGTGCCTCTTCATATTCGGTATTTCACTGATTGAAGTCCCAATAAAATTTTGCATTTTGAGTTCTCATTGGATGGAGTATTTCCATATCTAATCAAAATTGAAAATTTTGGTATGGCAACCATATAACAGCATGTATAGATAATATGCAAACTTTCTCGATTTTCTCGGTTTTTTATTTTAATAAGAATTTTCAATTCCAAAAGGAATTCTGAAACAATTCTACACAAAATTCCATATCATAATAGAACAGTCATTTTTTTCAGTTCCGCTATTTTTCTCAACATTTTCTTTCATAACAACGTTTCCACTGTAATTACAAATAACTAAAAGAAAATTTGAGTCAAATCGGCCCAGTTCTGAACTGATGTGTTACCATAGACAAATGAAGGTATAGACTAAAAAGTTTTAAAATTTTCCCTTCCGGCAGATGTCACTATTGTTGATCTTGGGCCAGTCAAGTCACTCAGGGCTAGTGAAGTCACTCGACTTCGAAAACAATTTATTCATTTTTTTGCTATTTAAATTCTATATTTTTATATTTCACGGCATATTTATATCATGTAAAAGTAAACAAAGTCACTGTTTCGTTTTTAATTGATAAATAATAAAGAATCATAAAAATATTCAATATTTTGTATTTTGAGAGAATTGAGTGAGTCTACTGAACCTCTCTCACAGCATGAACGACATCTATTGAAGCACTTTTTTCGAAGATAACAGATGAGACAACTTTTTAGTCTATACCTTCATTTGTCTATGGTGTTACTATACTGTGGCCAGTTCCTCTCAAATACCTAGGGTGGGGGGAGAGTCAAGATTACGTCGTATACTAACTGTGGAACAGATATCTTCATGATTTTTGGCAAATATTAGGATTTTAGATAAATCTAATAAAATATCCACATAGTTCCAGCCGGTCTCAGCCGATTCAATTACCAACGAACAACAATTGGTTTATATATAGATTAAAAAGTAGGCGATTTTAGATAAATCGAAATAGTGGGCGTAAAAGTAGGCGTGGTCAATATTTTTTTTTTTTCTTTAAAAACCTAACTCGGGGTATAACGAACGTTTGTACGAAAAGTTATGCAAATCGGTTTAGCCGTTCTGCAGAGGCAATTTTCTTTCACAGACTCGAAACAATTCCGGTTAATGATGTCACAAAAATCATCAAAATCACGAATATAGAGAGGTACCGTTATATGGGGGCTATACGAGGACGTGGACCAGCAAAGACGGATGGACAGACAGACGGATGCACATTGTTAAATCGTCAAAGAATTTTATGCTGCACAAGAATAAATATACTTTGTGGCGTCTCAAATGTATATTTCGAGGTGTTACAAACGTAATGACAAACTTGAAAAACAGATGTCTCATAAAAATTGTTATATTGTCCACACTTTTCAAAACATTATACTCTTATCATGCTTAGACCTGTGCTTACAAAAGACGGGACCAATAAGTTCTGTATTCATGGGCAAAACACCAAAATTTGTCAATTAAATTGGTTAATCTTCCTCTCCCTTATTCGTGTGTTTATCCTGTTCTTCTGTTTTTAAGTAATATTAAATTGTTTTTCATCAAAACGCAACCGCTTTTCTTTTGTCCGTAATGTCAAAACTTCTCATCATTTACTGTCGTTGAAAAATGCTTGACAGTGACGATAATGGGTGGACGGCATCGGTGTACTCCTTCTCGCGTCTGGTCCAAATTGTCGAATTGGCATTGAACTCATTACAGAAAATTGTAAGATTAAATTTTTCTTAGTACAGAAGGATTTTGGCAACATTTTTCAGCTGTATGTTCTGGCGTTTTGATCCTTAAAGGCTGACTTAAAATAAAACATCATTTGAGGACTACACAAAAACTAACACCATTGAGCAAACATCCTTAGGAAAAGGACATAAAATCCCGAATTGTAAATGTTTAAGCCCAAGTAAAAACAAGTTAAATGATATCAGTCGGCCGTTTGGTTCAACCGACAGATGTATAACCTCAGTCTTGCGTTGTGATTATTCAAAGTGTTGGCCTGAAGGAATGGTCCAATACTGTCCATTTCGCATCTGACCTCAATCTTATATAAATAACCTAGCAGGTTTGGACAATCTAATTCTGATTTAAATAATGCGATGTGTGAAATTTTGAGGAGAATCGAATGTTTCGCATTTTATAAGCATTTTGCAAACTTTAGACCCCTTTTGTATGGGGTATACCAGTAGTAGTGGACTGATAAATATCATATTAACACCGGATCTTGTCTTAACGGAAACATTGGAATGTCCGAAAATTAAAGACGATTGGACTCTTACTTCACATTTTGTAAGAGTCGTGATTATTGGAAATGTTGACATATTGTAGGGGAGGTAATTGATGGAGTGGGCCGATATATTCCATCCTCCCACCAGATCATATGTTGATAGAAATACTAGAATGTGCGAAATTTGAAGTCGATCGGACTCGTTGTTGTTTCGCATTTTATAAGAGTTATAATTATTCAAAATGTTGACCCTGGGGGATATACTGGATAGAGTGGGCCAATATTGATCATTTTCGCATTGACCTAGCACTGATGCAAATATTAGGATTTGCACAGTTTGAACAAAATCGAATAATTCTTTCACTTTCTGTGAGGTAAAATATTTTTACTGAAAATTTTGACCTTTTGTGCGGGAGGTGCGAGAAGGAGTGGACCGACATTGACATGTCCGAAATCGATCTAAGTTTGTTTTTTTTTGACAATAATTTTACGATGTACCTAATTTGGAGCAAATCGGATATTAGGGACACCCTAAACTCCAAATGTCTTGAAACGAATTTGGTCCATTGATACCTGGGGTCCAAAACCGTTATTTCGATAAGGAACGTTTTGTCTTTATCGAAATTTATATTGAAACGCCGAAAATAAGAGATAAGAGATCCATCCTATTTGAACTGATATTACGTTTTTTAGACAGAATAAACGTAAATCAGATGAGGTTATATATAGGACTATATCCAAATCTGAACCGATCTCTGTAAAATTTAGCTATATCTGAACCGAATATCATCAAATTTAACACACTTTGTTCCATTTCTGTTGAATTTGTTCGTAAGTACCGAAATATATTCGATTCGGGCCTATACTAACCATTCGGTGCAAAAGAATCTTGAAATCGGAGAAAGATATGTATGGAAGCTATATCCAAATCTGAACAGATCTCGATGAAATTTGGAAATTGTATTGCTGAGCTATATTTGATATATTTCCTCAAATATCGTTGTTAGGGAGTGTATAATACGTCCGTGGAGGACCAAAATAGCAAATCAGATGGACAATATATATCGGAGCAATAGCTATATCCGAACCGATTTTCACTAAATTTTACATACTTGTTCCTAAGCTCAACTTGAATGATATAACACATTTGGTGCTCAATAAAAAGCAAATCGGACGAAAATATATATGGGAACTATATCTAACACGGGTTCGTCTTTGGGCCAAACAAATGATTTGTGCAAAATTTCGTCTCGTTCGCGTTTTAAATGCGACCTGTACATTGTTTATAAAAATATATTAACAGACGGACGGACATGCATGAATCGACTCAGAATGTGATTCTATGCAGATCATTAAAAGGAACTATGGGTATATCTCGCTTCCCTCTCTATGTTACAAACAAATGCACAAAGACATAATACCCTGACCACTATGTGGTGTAGGGTATAATGACAAGACAAGGTAGGACATGTCAATCAACTGCCTACATTGTTTTGGTAGTCTTGTAACGTCAAAATACATATGCAGTTTTTGTATGTGTATGCATTGTTTTGAATAATAAAGAAAATAATTTTGAAATTTTTTCAAAATCTGTTCAAATTTAAAAGTCATATTCAGAACTTTTGGGGAGACTAGCTTTTACTTTTTGGAATGGAAAATAATTGTATTAGGAATCTTATTAGGAACCCAATATTGTGAAAAATCCTCGTCGTTCAATTCATTGTTCGCGATTTTCTCCTGGATTACAATATCGTGAGAAAAGTGTCAAATAATAACAAGTAAAAAACCAGTAAAGAAAGTCTTAAAGTCGGGCGGTGCCGACTTTATGATACCCTACACCACTTTGCTAATTTAGTAGAGCTCCGCATAACAATTAAAAGTTTTTATGAGAGAATTCAATCATACGCGCTATGATTATAATTATAATTTAAAGTTATGCCGAAGTATTTGTATCTTTTAAATTCGGACTTGTGTTGCCCATTTGGTGCACAAATCATTTAAAATCGGATAAAAATATATATGGAAGCTATATCCAAATCTGAACCGATCTCGATAAAATTTAAAAACAGTTATACGTACCATATCTCAGAAAGACCCACAAAGAAATTTGTTTTTGTAAGTAATACAAGTGTCAACAACATATAAACAATAATAGTTGTGATCCAGAACCTACAAATTATTACTAATTAGTACTAATTCTGCTACAACGCGTTCCCGTACTCCAAAAGCAAGCAAAACTTGCAGCTCTCTCGAAAAAAAAATGGCGCTGAGTGGTGCACATTTCTGCTTGTTTTAGCTACATGAATTTGGCCGAGCAGAAATGTGCATATTGTAAATTTGAAATATATTTGGCAGGGCTAGCAAGGTTGAAAAATGTATTGATACATTTCAATGTTCGCGCGTCACAACAAATGTAAAGAAAAAAGATCAACTTAAAAACTAAAGGTAAAACTAATATTTGTCGTGCAAAAAACAAAAAGAGAAAATATGGAGCAACTGATGTATTCACTTTTGGATGATTCCAGCAGTGAAGAGGACTGGCTGAATGAGGAATCAGACGAAGAAAACGTATTGGAAAACATTGCAAAATATGTAAAAGGTAAATTGAAAAATGAAGCTTAAAACCAAAAGTGGGATTTTTTACAGCAGTTCTCCTGCTGAGACCAAGATTCTATTGAGACGATTGAGTCGGGTTTGCCTACAAATGACATGAGTTATGTTGCTCCCAACTGTTGGCCATTTATGGGGCGTGTTCCGAAGGAGTGCGCAAATATTGTTTATTTCGCGTAACAACGAGCCTATATAGAGTATTTTCTTCAGGTTTTGAAGAATTAGATTTCTGGAAAATGTGCAAATGTGCGTGTAAAAATTTTGAAATATATAAAATTTGAAGAAAATCGAGCACTTCTTTCCAATTTTATGGCTACAGAGGGTATATATGATTTAATACTACCAAAAGTATTAAATCATATATACCCTCTGTAGCCATACGGATAAGTGTATAAAATCATTATAGAATCTAATTAACTGAGTGCCATCCTCCTTATTTTACAGGTAAACGTCACTCGATACTCGGCCATAGTGTGAATGTAATATCCAGCTACACCGACGAAGAATTTAAAATGCACTATCGTATTTCGCGAAGTCTTTTTAAAATTTTGAGCGATAAGTTTAGCGAAAGACAGCAGTACAAACATCTACGCTCAGACAAACGACTTTAAAGCGATGAACATTTGTATGTATTTTTGTTGTTTGCGGGTCATGAAGCCTGTAGCTATAGAGATCTTTCCGATAGATTTAATGTAACCATATCTTCTGTAAGTCGTATTATAAAGCAAGTGACTTACTTTTTAAGTACACTAAGTTCACAGGTGATAAAGTGGCCTTCAGCAGAAGAACGACAAGTTTCGAGTGAATACTTTGAACTGAAATACTATTAGTAAGTGAAAATTGAGCTTTTTTTGTTCCAAACAAAGAGTAGATTTAAGTAAAGATTGCTGCGATTTTTATAGATTTGTACAACTGACAAATACCAATATCATCGAAATTTAAGAAAATTTTTAACAATTTTTATTATTTTCTAGGTTGTATTGATGGGACCCATGTTATAATTGATCCGCCAAAGGATGGACGAAATGATTATGTCGACCGCAAAGGACATTTTTCATTAAAAGTCCAAGGAGCGTGCAATGAAAAACGAAATTTTATTAATGTGTTTATCGGATACCCAGGGTCGGCACATGATAGTTGGGTTTACCAAAATTCGCCATTATCTCAAAATTTAGATAGCAAATGTGGAGGTAAGAATTTTTATATTATTTACCTCAATCAGTCAGTAATATATTTTCTAAGACTACTTTCTTCTTGGTGACTCAGCATATCCATGTAACAGGTATCTTGTCACACCCTACCAAAGGTAAACCAAAGATTTCGGCAGCTGTACTATTGCAAGCTTCGAGGTGTGAAAAGCTCTGCCATTTTATAAGGGCGTGTTGCGTTCCGCACAACCTAGCAAATGAGAACGATTTCGATTTTGATGAAAATAGTGAAGAAGAACCTGAAGTAGATGCATCTTCAGATCATCAAGACATGTCAGCCAACAGTGCAAGCCGAGATATTTTGTGCCTTTGAAATTCGAGAAAACATAACAGGTGTGTATTACGAACAAGTTAAAAAGTATCCATCGGTTTGCCGACAGATTGATACTCCCGCCTTTATCCGTTTATTAAAATATCTTTCGACATGCTTTATTCAAAATTTCGAACCTTTGAGGGAAGCTAACGAGGGAGTAGGACAATTGCGGCACATATCTGCAACAACATACATATATATATATAGAAAGTTGAACAATGACTTATGTGTACAATTTTAAAATAATAAATATTTCTTTATTAAATTCAAAAATGTTTTTTTAACTGGTATTAATGTAATTAGTTCCTTTTGGAAATGGAATTATTTAAACATATATTTTTCTTTTTTAAACAATGCTATCGAATGGAATTTATTGAAAGGTAGACATGTTATACCACACAATTAATTTCTAGTGTTGCAGATATGTGCAGCAATTTTTTCCAATGAATCCATTTTCCGATCATTGCGTCTACCTCTGGCTTCCATTTTTTGCAGCACAGCCGAATGAAAATTCTTTTTTCTTTAACAATTTTAACAGTTCGTTTCTGCCTATGAAATGAAAATTGTTTAACGCAATTTGCCTATGATAATGTTGTTTTAATATTTCGTTTATGATACCTTTTTTAAAATGGGCTTGGTACATAAGGGAACATCTGAAATATAAGAAAACTTATATTTGCTATTGCTATTTTGATTTTTGGTTTGTAATACCTTTTTTTAAAGCCTCATTTGAACACGAAGGAATGTCTGAAAAAAAGTGGAAATGTAGATGATGACAATGTAATTGTGTATCATTCTAGAAGATAAGGTTTGTGGTTGTAGAAGGAGTAATACTTGAATTTTATAATTGGTTATGAGATATAATGTTCATGTGGATTTGCGACATTGTTATCATTTTTTATCGATCTAAAGTCTTTAAAGTAGTAGGGATATTTTCTATGATTATCAAACTAAATATGTTGGAAAATGTTCCTTAGTACCGAGAGCTTTATTGCAAATAGTAATTTGGAAGGCGGATTTCAGATAAGGTGTTTATGTAAGAGTTTTTTAAAAAAAATAAGCAACATTTGTGGTCATCTATTGTGTGTCAATAAATAAGTATGTTGGTTAAAAAATCAGGTCAGCAATGTATGTGGAGGGAGGAGACACAAATCAACCAAAGTAAAATTGTTACTTCTCACCAATATCACCAGAATCTTCATTAATGTTGAGGTTATTGCCATCCCTTCCTTCAGCATTCTCGCTATCAAGGACAGAGTCTGGGTTTAGCGATTTCCTTTCACCCAATATACTTTCTAATTCTCTATATCAAAATGTATAAGAATACAAAATTCGAAAGCCTCAATTTTAAACCTATGCCACAACATGCATTGTAGTGGATAGTTCCTTATACTACGTAGTGATAACAATTCATAAAAAAGTTGGTTAAAATCTTAAAAACTAAATACTTACAACTCAAAAGGGCATGTTACTTTATTCCTGCCTGTTAAAGAGTTGTTGAGCTTCATTTTTTTAAACCTCCTTTCCAACGATCGAAATTTTGTGTGTACTTGATCAGGTGTAAAACAATATCTAAAATTGGATAAGAGATAAGTAGAAGTAATACGATTATGGAGTTCTTGGCGATACAAATATGGACCGCCTAAAAAAGTGAGAAAGTAAAAAAATGCATTCACAGTATCAAAAACATTTGGGATCTTTGGGAATACTCTACTTTAGTAAAAACTCTTCTATATTTTCAAAATGTTCTCTAGAGGTTGATTCTGGTAAAGTATGTTTTTCTTGGAGGACGGACCCGGGACTCGCCGGTTTACTTCCAACATGCTACAATATGTACTTTTATCTTTCCTGGGTCCAGGAATTCTTGTATCTGCACCATTTGGCCACTTGTTGGATAGGTATTTTCACAGGCTTCCAAATGTTGTCTATGTCGGGTTTATGGATTAGGAACTAAACCGGAAGTTGGTCCTGGACTTTTAGGTCCGAAATCCGGGGTCCCGGTTCCGCTCCAAGAAAATCGTTCTTTACCGGAATCAGTATAAAAATCTCTATCTCTGGAAAAAAATTGTCCTTATTTTACGATTGAAAACATATGTCTACTTACCCAGTCTGGTTAAGATGTTCGCTTATTACTGCGAACATTTTCTTTTTATTTTTTAGGTTGGCTGCCTTCCCAACTTGTGGCATTAAGTCTTCTAGCACACTTAACATTAATTTAACCGGTGCCTCCAACCATGTCAGCTTCTCCGGGGTTGGGGTTTGAGAAAACTCCACCTCTTCAACGCATTCTGAAAACAAAGCTTTCTAAATAAACAGCATTCAAAATTTATTTTAACTTAACTTTATTATTTTAACTTACCGTCTTCAATACTCATTTTTTAAATTTTACAAAAACAGTACTTATTAACAATAAAACATCAATATATGATTTATAATTTTACGAAATACGATTTTTCTATTAATTCACATTTATATTGCGCTTTTGGATAGCTTTTTTAAAGCCATTATCCGACGGCTACCTTTCTTATATTTTAGAAGTTCATTTAAGTATTTTATTCTAAAGTGTATTCTACATTTAAAAAAGAATTGTTTAATTCTGTCATCAATGGCAACGCTCTTGCTCTCCTGTAATAACAATGACGTCAGATTTCGTGATGATAATATCGAATCACCATAAAATGCTTTGAATATAAGTTCTAAATTCTTAATATACTCCAAGAAGATCACGGAGTATTTTATTAAAGAATCTTTAGACACTTGGTCGACCCACGTAAATGTATTTGAGCACTGTTCATGGTTTTCTAGATTGAGCTTTCGAATAATATAGCCAGCTACATATGCATTGATTCTTCTAAAGTACGCCTAGTAAGATGTTCTCCTTGTTTCTGATTTTCTGACTTTTGGTGAAATGATCTTCATAATGATTGCATTGCATAACAACTATTTGAGTTATTGTTTGCTTGGACGCTATATTTTTCTTGTCTTATTATATTATTATGGCTGGGGAGCCAATGAAGAGAAATTATTTTATAGTTTTAATTTTTTTTTTTTTTTTGTATTTTATTATAAGTATTAAAAACTTAGGTTTTGCTAGCTATGTAATATGATTTTATGGTCTTAGAGGCCCTGTATTACACAAATGAGTTTGAATAAAATAAATAAATAAATAAGTTTAAGCAAATGTGGAGCATCGGCAAATACAAATACTTTGCCCTTTCCTAGAGCAGGATTTTCGAACCATTAAATCACATATTTACGAGTTGAAGATGAATATGATAAACCTAGGAAATAAAATTGAAGCTACACCCATGTCTGATCGGATTTTAATTAAATTTTACAGATGACTTTCTGATCTATATGTTATATCTCGTATCAAATATCAGTGTTATCAGGACAAGTTACCGCGATTATCGCTTAAGTTTTTGCCATAGCGATCGGTTTGTAGCTCCTATTTCCGAAACCATGGCCACAACTATGAAAAGCAAAAAATATTGGTTGTCTCTGTGCTGTGTGCTGTGCTGGTTTCCTTACATAGACCCCAGCAGTGATACATTCGTACAATTCAGCAACCTTCATTTCGTCAAAGGCCAGTATGCACAATTTTTCATAATCGTTAAGATCGTAATTGCGGTTCATTAAATCAATTGAATATTCAATAATGCCTTCATTCAAATTAAATTTTTTTAAACAATCGCTGCAATGTTGATGCGGCAATGGATATCCAATTTTCTACAGGTGCCTGTAAGCTCTTGCACCAGCCGCATGCAAACAAAGAGCATTGGATATGTCCTCTCATTTCCATTTTACAAAACCATCACAAGCCATTTTTCAAATCTGTACCTCCGATTTTTTTTATATAATTTATGACAGCTTCAGCTTTTTGCTTTCAATCTTAAGTTTCATGACATCATATTCAGACTTGAGATTTTTCAATTGATCAATGACTTTTTTGAAGCGGAACACATTTCTTTATGCCTATTTGTTTTATTGATATTACTACATTTGCAAAATTATTAACAAAAAAAACCAAGTAGTCTTCGTGTGTTGTGTTTTGAGTCAATTGCAAAAATCACAACCGATTGATGCAACTGTTTCATTGGATTTATTAACAGCAGATTAGAAAGTATCACCATTCCGTTTATCAGCGGAACCTATGAAGATGCGTCTGGCCGAACTATAAGTACCAGAGGGAGTATCCGATTTGGACAACAATTTGCACATCATAATATTCTTTACCACTCTTCTACAGAGCCTTTATCATACACCACAAAAAAGCAAATGTAGTATCCAATTTGTTTTTCATTTCGTAAACTTCGCACTCTTTTGGTACCTCCCCAACAAAATGTTAAATAAGTATATTTCTCATAACATTCGAAATTGGGTCTTATGTGAAACTGGGGTATATCTTAATAAACTTAGCCTTTTCCTCCTACATTTTAAATGTTTTCTTCAAATATGTATATATACAGTAAATGTATACAGGCGGCAGTCATTTCTAAGCCACTCGTCCGACAGCTCGAAAAGTGGTTCGTGAGCTTGGACATTCCAACACGACTCAGCACGCGCCACCCAAGAATGGTTACAAAATGAGGTTCCTCGCTTCATTTCCAGCGCACAATGGCCACCAAAATCTCCGGATACCAATCCGTTGGACTATTGTGTCTGGAGTATTTGGAAAGCAAGGTTGGCACTAAAAAATACCAAAGTGCCGATAACCTCAAGCAAGCACTTCGCCGGGAATGGGCCAAAATACCGCAGAGCAACATTCGGGTAGCGTGTGACGGTTTCATTGGCCGTTTGAAGACCACAATCCATGCCAAAGGTGTCCAATTCGAACAAATCTAAACTTATTCTAAAATTTAATGGTATTTTCGACATTTTTTGCTTTCATTCCATAAAATTAAAAAGAAATGTAAAAATTATGTCGTTTGACTTTGTTGGAGTTTTTTATCTCACCCTGTATAGTGGAACGAAGTATTCCACTTCATCCTCAATCAAACATTTATTTTCAAATTTATACCAGAAAGACTGGGCCTATAAATTCCCTAATCACATCAGATCTCTGGTTAAGAGAAATATTTAGCATTAACAATTTTGAAAAGAATCACTGACTTGTTTCGCAAGTTGTGAAAGACATAATTATTATGA